CTTCTTCTTCGTCCGAGTTGAAAATATCATCGACGCCGTGAGACGGCTGGTGGCTTTCGCGATCCTTGCCTCGCTTCAAGCGTTTGAACTTTGACTATTACTAGCGCATTAGGATCTTGTCGAGTCAAGGGTTATAGCTTACATACCTCAGTGGCTGGTCCACGATGCTGACTTGGACCGTGTCCAATGAGCTCCAGATCTTCTTCATCGAGGTGCTCTTCTTCACGAGCGGTGCGTGGACGTTTCCTGTGTTTGCGAGCGGCGCGTTCTTCCTCCTCATCCTCATCAACAATAAAACCTTCACGGACCTAACAGTTTGTCAGCAAAGAGATACGGCTTATATTGAAGTCAAAACTGACGGCGCGAGCAGCCTCCTCATCATCTTCTTCTTCGTCTTCCTCCTCGCTTGAGTCATTGTAATGGTTGGGGTTGCCCGCGCCCTGGCCACCCTCGGCATCATAGTCATCGGCGACTTCCTCGTCGTCGTCATCCATGATCGCCTCACCCTCGATCAGGTCGTTCAGGCTCATCTTGAAGTAAAGATCCCTATTGCTAGGGACCGAGGAGGATACGAGTTCGGATGAAATATTCAAGATACAATGGCGCAGTTGCGACACCAGGTAGTGCCCAGCTCTTTACGACAGTCGAAAGTGAGATAGGGAAGGTAAAATTGAAGCAATAGTTGTCAAGAGGAAGAATCGCGGCCATCGGCGAAGGAGGATGCGGGTGGCGGTGATTGGTTAGTGCTGGTGTGGCTAGACGCTAGTCCTATTGAGGCAGCCTTATTGTGGCTTGAGCAGCTCATATCACGTGTTATTGTCTTTGTGTGTACATCGTACATTGTACATTCAACGATGCCCTGGTCGGATCCTCAATATGCATATCGCTTTGTACTATTGATTTAGAACCGAGAAAAATATAGACTATTGCCCAACTGTTTGCACACTATCACTCTCTTTATTTAGCCATAAAGCCCATCGTGTAGAGCCACAAGTACCCAAAGCCAGCCCAAAAGACCGGTGGAACCCCCTGAACACCTGTTGTTTCATTGTCCTCCGTATTGGCCTTGATAGTTCTGAAGATCATCTCTCATTTTCTCCCTCTCAAAATATCTATAAAAACCAACAGACTTCTGTTTGGCGCCCACGGTCACATTTTGGTCATAGTTGGTCGAATCGACGCGCCCGAAAGGCCCAATCAGCGTCGCCAAGAACATCGCAAGGTGATATCGGCTTCCCCGCTGTTAGCTCGGGGGTTCATTCTGACCACTTTAATATCATCGCCTTGGGTAACGCGGACTTGATATCACTCAGGCGCCTGGGCTCTTTGCTTTCTTTCTTTCACAACGTTCCCCTTGTGCAACTCCAACCCCCCAACCAAACGCCATGGCGGACCAGTTTAAGGCTCGTACGTTGAAACGCAAGAATGTCAAAGGTCTTGCTCTCAATGCAGCCCCTAAACCCGCCTCCACTCCTACCGATGGCGATGCACAGGCCCCTGGGCCTGCTGGGAATAGCGAAATCAACAACACGGATACGCTCGAAATTGGACTGGAGTTTCGCCTCGATCTTCGCAGTGAAGACCTGGTTACATTGAAGGAACTCGGTGCTGGAAATGGAGGTACTGTCTCTAAGGTGATGCACGCATCCACTAAGGTCGTGATGGCTCGAAAGGTGTGTCTTGTGTACTGTGTTTCTACTTGTTGGCCAGCTCTGATTCCCTCATCCCTCCGCAGATTATCCGTGTGGAAGCCAAAGAGAATGTTCGGAAACAGATTCTACGAGAACTTCGTGTCGGACACGACTGTAACTGTCCCAATATTGTTACTTTCTATGGTGCATTCCAAAATGAAGCGAGAGATATTGTGCTATGCATGGAATATATGGATCTCGGGTAGGTGGACTGATATAGCAAACAAAGCGGATATAGCTGACGCGCAATCAGATCCCTCGACCGCGTGTCTAAAGATTTCGGCCCTGTTCGAGTCGATGTGCTAGGAAAGATCACCGAGTCGGTCTTGGCTGGTCTTGTCTACTTATACGAAACCCACCGCATCATGCATCGTGATATCAAGCCGTCCAATATCTTACTCAACTCCCGCGGTAACATCAAGCTCTGCGACTTTGGTGTTGCTACTGAGACAGTTAACTCGATTGCCGACACATTCGTTGGCACTTCCACATACATGGCTCCCGAGCGAATTCAGGGAGGTGCCTATACGGTCCGTTCCGACGTGTGGAGCGTGGGGTTGACGGTCATGGAGCTGGCTGTTGGAAAGTTCCCCTTCGATCACTCCGATTCTGCTGCCGGAAACCGTGCTAGCGCAGGGCCGATGGGAATTCTGGATCTACTGCAGCAAATTGTGCACGAAACAGCGCCCAAGCTGCCCAAGAGTGATGCCTTCCCACCTATCCTGCATGACTTTGTTGGAAAGTGCCTCTTGAAAAAGTCCGAGGAGCGCCCAACCCCACGAGAGCTTTATGTATGTTTATCTCTCTCTTTGGTCTACCAATATTTTACACATTCACTAACTTCTTCCAGGACAAAGATGCCTTCTTGCAGGCCGCGAAGCGCACACCAGTCAACCTGGAAGGTTGGGCAGCGAGTATGATGGATCAAGACAAACGCAAGTCCTACCTGGGACCACCAATACCAACATCGCTCTCTAGAGAGACCTCGACGCCAACCTCAAACTCGACCCCATCTCCTGCTGCAGCTCCCACATCAGCAGCCACTGTCGGCAAACCCCCTCTCATCAGCAAGCCAACTAGAACCCCACAACAGTCACCCTTCCCGTCAAACGCAGTATCAGGCGACATTCCTCTAAAGATTGCCAACGAGGTTCCATCCAGCCACCGTTACTATCCCCAGTCCCAGCCCCAGCCTCAATACTACTCATCGTCCTCGTCTCGAACCACGCGGTCTCCACCACCACCCTCTCTGGAGCACCTCTCGCTGGAATCAAATGATGAAGACAGCCGGTCTGGTCGTCGTGCAATGCGCCAACACCTCAACGAGCCTGCTTCTGCTATCGATGCACCATCCCACCCATTCATGAGTCCCCGCTCCACAAGCTCCAACAACTCCAATCCTCGCACGAACCTGCACTCCACGACGATGCCCATCCGCACCGCGCCTCCAAGTGGCCCGCCTCCCCCACCGCCTGTTTCGGCAGGCGGAAACTGGCGCATTCAACCAGGAACCACACCCCGGTAATTTGGTGTTGGTTAGTTGATCCACTCGGATACATATTCGTGCTATTCCATTTTCCTTGTCATGTCTTTTTCCAGAATGATGTGATATACACATGGAAAGCCGATGTAATACTACCTCGGCTTTGATGATTGTGCAGTCGTGCTTTTTCCTTGTCGGCTATGTTGTTCTGTCTGTGTATTCATGGCGCTCTTGATAGAACAAAAAATAAAGCCAAGACAAGCCTTAACAGCCCTTTCTTTATTTTCCATCGATCTATGGACATCCCTTTCTTTTTCAATCTTCCCCTTCTTCTTCAATGACTGCTTCGATTGAAACATCTGGCAACGAACCCTATTATGTTCATTTCTTATTCTATTTGTGTCTACTGGTGTGTCTTCTTGCATTACATGGCGTACATAAATAAGTGCAATTTCATACTTGTTCAAACTCTGGTAAAAACATGTGGATGTGTGCCCTTTCGATATCAATTTCCAAGCCACTAATATCCATTAATCAAGATCTCACTCAACCCAAACCGGGTATGCTTGCTGTCCAAGTACCTACAAATGTGCCTGGAGGGAAAATATATATATATATATATATAATGAACGAACGGCCGCGACTGTTATCAAAACAGATCTGTCTAAATCAACACGACCACGATGAGCACCATTCAAACTCCCAAGCAATTCTAGTAACTTTGGTTGGCCATTGACCTTATGGACTTGCAACCAAGTTAGACCCAAGACTTGATCAATCAAATAAGCAAATGGCATGGCAGCAGTTGTTACAACCAAGGTCAGGCGCCAGAGTGGTCTCTCCAGGGCTGCAGGGAATTCAAAGTTCCATGCTAAACAGTGGGCAGCACCAAACAAAATCAAATCACTCAATGTACTCATCACGCACCTTAGCATGTTATTAGGGACATATCAGTGCATAGTAGAGAATTGCTTAAGGATTCACAGATATCTTGGATGGTGTCGACTGGATTGGGACATTGAGATGGAGAATACCTAGGTAAACCAAGTGTAGCGGCCTATCAGGCCGGGGCAGGACCAGGCAATATCTAGCCTGCGACCTTGAGGTGATATGTACAATTGCTGTGGAATATTAAGTCAAGAGGGCTGTTATGTTGGTTTTGCGCGGGGATTTGGGTATGAATATATATATAAAAAAAGCGTTATTGGCGCAGCAAATATTCCAGTCGTTTGGATCCTTCTTTACTGAAGATCAGCATAGCTTCGCTCTCTATAGCCATTGATTGACTCAGGGATGTTGGGCGACTCGGAAGCTGGGGCCAGCTTCCAGAACACATCAAAAATCACAGCCATGACAGTTGAAATACAGAACAGACCGGGAGATACATTGGTAAATATCGGGTTTTGCATACTAATCCTTGTGAATATTGTACATATCGTAGCGTATTTAGGCAACTGTATACTCCATGACTTGTACAATCGGTCCAAAAGGTTATTCTATCGTATATTGGTTAAAATCAGGAGCGCAACAGATGGTCAAACAACGCACTCAATATCTGATGCCGTTGAGCATTATGTAGTCTACAGTGGATTTATTTGGAAGCGCCCTGAATGACTGGCTGAATATTTAGATATTCAGCTGTAAAAACATAATCGAGGTGTACATAGAGAGCCCATGAGTTCACAAAGCAAATGGGTTCGCGGGACCAATAAATTCATGTAACAGCGGCAAGTCAAACCCACAAGCAAAATATGATAGCGCAGCATAAGCCAAATAGACCGAGTCCTGAACACCAAACAAACCCCACAAATCAGTCAACTTATTCTCTATTTCATCATGAGCTCCGGGCCAGCTAGCTGACTAGGACCAGGAGGTGCATGGGCAACACTTGGGGTCGATGGCGCAGGAGCAATATCGGGCATCGGGATGGATATAGACGATTTTCCACCCCGGGTGCTGTTACTTGCACCGCGGCCAGAGGTCCCATTGCCGCCGCCACGGCCACCACGGCTTTCATGGGCGGTGGATGCAGTAGTAGCGGCGCGGTCACTGCCACCATCGGTCTTCTTGTTGCCTCGCGGGCGGCGTGAAGTACCACCCCGAGAGCCAGGTCCACGCAATGGTAGGCCAGTATCTTGGGAGACGGGCACAGCAGCTGCAATAGGAACGTGTGGATGGGAGGTCACGGTCCGACCTCGACCTGTTCCTCGCCCACGGCCACGGCCACGTTTGATTGTGCCATCGGCGCTACAGATAATGAGTAAGTGTGTAGTAAGGGGGTAGTGAGTAGACATACCGTTCCACCTGGACCTTTTCTCCCTCTGGAACCAGCGGCCCGCTGTAGACAAAGAACCCATCTTTGCTAGCAGCAGCCTGTTCCTGCCAAACCATTTCGGTGTCATCCACGAATGGATCATCGCGGTCATATTCCTCAACCTTCTTGCGTCGCTTCTTCTTGCCATCGCTAGCCTCCGAGGGCGCACCGTTAGTTCCTGCCCCAGTGCCACCCATGGGGACGTCGCCATCCAGATCGCTATCGCGTTCCGCATCGAGGCTCAAGTCCTCGTCGGCACTCTCGCCGGCAGAAATCCCTTTAGCATTCTTATCATTTCGTTCCAGCGCGGCCCCGGCAGCTGCCACACGAGCCATGCGGGCTTTGTGGGCAGCTAGACGGGGGTGCAAAGCAGCGAAGCCATATTGCTCTTCTGCAAGCCGTGCAAAGTTGACAATCTGGTTACCTTTTTGGAGCGGAACATGAACGATGATGTTGGGTGTGGTACGCGAGTCGGGCGACTTTGCCGAGTCTTCCCCTCCGCCAAATAGCGCGTTGGAAATCAAGCCAGATCCTTGAGGCAGATGGGGGGCTTCTTTAGCGGGGCGAGCTGGCTTAGGAGATGAGGCCTTTGATGCCGGCGCAGTAGCTGTGCTCTTTTCCTTTTTGGCACTGGATGCGGGCTGCTCTTTGGATGCAGGCTGCTCTTTAGCTGCGGGCTGCTCTTTGGGGTCTATTTCCATTGATTCGGCTGGTTGCTGTTTGGGCGGAGTTGACTGCACAGCGGGTTCGGGTTGTGCGGGGGGTTGAGGCTGGCGCATCGCTGGTGGAGACGGTTCGAGTTTAGGGGTTTGCGATGGTGTTGGCCGCGGTTCGGTGGGCGGGTATGGGGTGGTGTAGGGGGTGGACTGCGACATCGCCTGCGGGATTTGCATGGCTCCACGGGAAGTAGAGGAAAGGGGAAGGGGCGATGGTGCTAAGGACGTATGTGAGGGTGTGGGAGCCATTGCAGGCGGCGCCGGCGAGGAGAGGCCAGATGCATGGCCAGAGGAAGAGCGTTGAAGCGCGTTGTATATTTGTTGAGAGTTCTGGGCTGGCGGGTCGATAATGCTTGAGATCGCCGGCGATGCACTGGCACGATAAGCATTGCGGGGAGAGACCGCGCGAGCAGAAGGACTATATGACGGCGCTGGAGATGGATTGTCAAAGGCAGAGCGAATGGGGTCGAAGTTCTGTCCGCTGGTTCGTTGAGGTGGTGGCTGAGGCACTGGAGGTTGCGATTGCGATTGTGGGCGAGAATGTTGCGACAGCGGATACGAAACTCCTGGAGCTGTAGGGGGGTGTGGATTAGAATAAGGTATTGGAGTAGGTTGAGGAGGCTGAGGAGGTTGAGGTTGAGATATTTGAGCAAGTTGAGTAGGTTGAGCGGGCTGGGCGGGCTGAACAGGTTGAGGCGTTGCAGGGGCGTATGGAGGGCTTCGGGCGTCTAACGGAGCCCTCGTTTCCTCTGCCGCGGGCTCCAGCTTGGGCTTTTTCCTGGAAGCAGTGTTGTTTGATTTTTCTCGTGGACGACGAGGAGCTCGGGCCGGTTTTTCTTTAGTCTCTTTGGGTTCCTTGTCCTTCTTCTTGGGGTCAGGGTCGTCATCCTTCTTACGACGCGACCGCCTGGCGGTACCGGAGGCACGTCGGGCGCCTGTGCCGGGTTTGACATCAGTGTCAATGGGCGCTTCTTCTTTAGGTAAACTCATACTAGGAGGATCCGACATAATTTGACAAATTCACACAAACAACAAATTGATAAAATGTCAAATTAATGGAATGTCAAGATCAAGATGAAGAATCGGGAGTCAAAGTGGTGAAACGTGTCGGTATCAGGTCGGGAAAACAGAAATTGGGAAAAGGAACACAAGAAAGATAGGAGATAGGGTGGTGACGGGAAGAGAGAAAATAGGAACGAAGTAGAGAAAGAAAGGGACGCGGAAGGGAGAAGGGAAAAATGTTGACAAAAGAAAAAAAAAGAGAACAGAAATGAGAAGGAAAGGAAAGGGAAAAAAAAGGGAAAAAAAAAGGGAAGAAAGGGGAGAGAAAGCAAGCAGATTGGAATTCAAAAAGCACATTACATGGCAAAGTACTGACCATTTGATATATGCAAGCTCTATACTTGGAAAATATGGGGGATTTACTATCGAATTCATATCTAGATAGGTGAAGTTATTATCGAGCTATATCTCTCTAGGAAAATGGATTCTATCTAGGTCACTTTGTTGAGGGAGAGTATGGGAGATCCATATCCCATATTCCTCTGCGGAGATCTTTTAGGCTAGAACCGTAAGTTGTACTTGATACAGGGATGGCTTCATTTACCGAACTTCGTGTTCTTCAGGGTAGTCCTCCTGCTCTGGGTTTTAGATCTGACTTGGGCTTTTTATTTATTTCGTTTTCTAAATCATCCAAGTCAAGATAGTATCAATATCCTGTTTGTGTATTCTTTGTAAAGCTGATGATAGGTACGACAAATATCGACGTCAACGTTCGTAAACGTCCTTCAACCGAAGAAGAAAAAGATATTAACATTCCATACATAATCATCAAATTGAATCCGATTAGTATCCAATTCGTCATATACAGCATAGACGATCTACGTGAGTGGTATACAGCATAGATGCTATGGATCAATGTGAGGAACCCAATTGGGACTAGCATATCCGTCATCTCCCACTAGCCCATTCTGGTTAGACTATTCTGCAGCCCCATTTTAGCTTTGGGAGCCGCATCCATGGCATCTCCCCGCGCTGACATAACATATTTTTTTTTTCCTCCTCTTCATCTTACTTATGCACCATGGCTTTTCGCGGTGAACGCTTCCTCCTGGATTTGGATGAGGAATCTGGTGCCCCAGAAATCCCTTCTCCATTTTCCCTCGTCGGGGAGATCCAAGAACGGGCTCCCTCCACCGCCATTCCCCCCGCGCCTAAACTGCCGTCCTCGTCGGCATCATCGACTGGGTTCCCTGCCCCTCGCCAACGCAAGCCCTCTTCCTTCAAACAGCGACGATCAAACCAGCCCACTCCTCCGACTCCTCCCCCTACTGAACCGACCACTCAAGATGACAAGAAATCCATCGACGAGGAGAACCGCCGTCACCTGGCGGCGATGTCGGATGCGCAGATCCAACAGGAACGGGAGGAGCTGATGGAGCAGATGGATCCAGGACTTCTAGAACGATTCCTCCGTAGAGCAAACATTGAAGAGGACCAAAAGACGGAACTGTCACCGCCAGCACCTGTGGCTGATGAGAAATCCAAACCGAGGAAATCAGTTTCGTTCGATATTCCTCTGTCTGCGCCAGTTGCTAGACCACCAAGCGCGCAGTCCCATTCTATACCCAAACAGCCACCTAAGCCGCACCTCCGTAATGAGGATCTCGCTCCACCCTCACTCCCTCAAGACCTCCACCCGGCCTCTCAACGGCCGTCCCTTGACCCAGCTACTCTCGAAACCTTCCACTTCCCTCAGCCAACAACGCCAATGCCAGTCCTGGACCCATCTTCGCCGTCTTTCCTATCAGATCTCCAATCCCACTACTTCCCCGAGATAGCTCAGGATCCATCGACGCTTTCCTGGCTGCAGCCTCTCTCCGCCGACGAAGAAGACCCAGACTCAACGTCAGCCTACCACCCAGCCAGCAACGCCATCTCAATGGCGCCCTCTGCAATCCGCTTCTCGCTAAGAGGTACCATTCTTGCCCCCGAAACATCGCTCTCCCTCCCAACAACCATGGGGCTGCACCACCACGGCGAGGATCCGCATGCCGCGGGCTACACGATTCCCGAACTGGCGATTCTGGCACGCTCGACGTTCCCCGCTCAGCGATGCATCGCATGGCAGGTCATTGGTCGGATTTTATTCCGTCTTGGCCGGGCGGAGTTTGGAGAACGGGGTGGCCCGTTGTCCGATGGGCTATGGTTTGTTATTGAAAAGGAGGGTATTGTTGCTGGTATGCTTGCTGAGGCCGATGGCGCTGCTGGCCAGACCCAGGGTAGGAATAAGAGCAAGGATTCAAAAGACGAGGGTAGTAACTTGCCTCTTGCGTCCGGTGTTGGCCGTCATGCTAGTGCTGCTGCGTGGGCAGTCGAGGGTATTTGGTTGTGGCAGAAGGGCGGTGGTGGGGATCGTGGGTTGTTGAAGGAAGGCCAACATCGATCTTTATAGATGGCGTTCTTGCTAGATTTCGATTCATTGGAGAAGTGAACTGACAGTACAAAGATATTCCTATGCATACAATACAAAAAGCCATGGTGATATTCAAATAAACAGTTACAGATCTATACTTTCTTCTAACTGAAATGTCCCATCATGCCCATGCTCACTCGCATCCAACTTTGGCCATTCCCTCCTCTGCCTACCGCGGCCATCGATGTAAGATTCGTCAAGAGACAGATCGGTATCCGCAGTAGCGCAGGGTCGAATATGGAGCCCCAAAGCCAGATACGAGAATTGCAACGGAATGTTGCGCTGCAACATTCAATTGCAATGTTTAAGGGCTTGTGCGTAGCACTTTTGTAATGGTCATTGATATATCGCATCCGATACAGAGCTTATTCACTTCCGAAGAAGGAATTTCAAGGCATGGATCTCGCCTTGCGCTCCACCTTACAGCGCGAAGAATATCCTATGAGAGAGCACAATGTGAGCACAGCAGAAGCAAGAAACTTGGAGTATGGGTATTAGTAGACTATGACTGGAATCAGGCGAAGATACGAGTCCGTTTTACAGGGCTGCCCATGCGCATAGACGTGTTTCCGCCGGCCATACCGTTCAATAGGCGGCCCATGCCCTCCACATCCAATTCTCCCCGTCGAAGCATCAGCTGGTCGGTCTCTGATGTTTCTTCCTGTTTCACTGTAGGCAGACTTTCCTCTATGGGTTCTGTCAACCTTGGGGCGAGAATCATGATCTGATGTTCTGCTGCCACAAGTACATCGAAAGCTTGTCGCTCTGCTTGCCGGGATCGGCGTGCTGGTGCAGGTAGGTGTCCAATCGCCTGGAAGTTCTGGCCCATCAAGTTCACGTCCTGGAAAGGAGACACGCGGCATCGGTTTGATGAATCAAATGTGCCGGTGGTTTTGACAGCATTGCGCCACAGAGAAAGTAAGCTCGTGATTACCGCGCTCTGGCGGCCGTGGCGGAGCAAGATCGACTCGTCGGGCAATGCGTCTGAGGATGGATTCGTCTGCAAGACAGCGATTTGGCCACGATGGGACGGACTGGCTGTGCTCATTGATCCCTTCAGTAATCCATCTTCGCGTACACGTCTCGTGGATGGTGTCATAGGCGCGAACCGGGGTCGCTGCTCCGTTTCGGAATTGGTGTTGGAGAGTGGTGTCATGATACGGCCGCAGACAGCGTATGCTGTCAATGACCCGCCAGTCACACCTTGGACACTCGTCTGACGGTGCAGCGGGCCCTTCACAGCACCAGGGCCGGCGCCTTCGATATCCCATACGCCCCATTCGCCATCTTCAAGGAGTACCATAATTGCTCGGCCGCCTAGCACCCAGTCGGCATCAATGATTCTCTTCCGCCGAGGAAGCCCAGTGGGTCCTTGCTCAAAGCCAGGGTACAGACTGATCAACCAGCGCCCTTCCGTGTCGATAGTCTCGTAATCTTCTTGCGGTATCGAAGCCCGCCGTGAGAATTTCGAGGCCTTTTTGACAAAGCAGGAATAGATCTTAACACATCCGCTGGGGAATGCGACAAGAAGATTGGCATGGCGGACGGATGGCCATGTTGATGGGTTAAAGGCAATCGTCTGTGCAGGCGCTGGCAAGAGGCGCCGCTGGGACACAATATCTTCTTCCACAAGACGGAAAGAGGACTCTTCGCGAATTGGAATTCGGTGTAGCAACAGCGCTCCACATCCCTCTGCAGAATGAGTGGCCACAAGCAGATCCCATTTACCAAAATTTCCGAATCGGCCTCGCGACTTTCGCTGGTCTTGCTCATCTTCAAATTCATGGCAGGTGAATGTAATAGATACACCGCGTGGGATATCCTGATGAGTGGTAGCCCCATTGACTGTGAAGGTTTGGATGCGCCAGCTCTTGGGATCCGTCTGCGCAGGGTGAGGAGGCACAAGCGGTAGAGTTACAACTTTTGTCGAAAGGTCAGAACAGACTACCGACACAACGATTGTGCTTCTGAGGATAGGTGGGAAGGGATCTAAAGGCGAGCGAGCTTCTTCCGGGAGAACACGAGGCACCGCCACATCCAGCACCCGGCTTCCAAGGGGGATATCGATCTGTCGCAAAATCTCTTCGTACGGTGTTGCGGGATCAACTTCGCTTTCCTCCAGACTGAATTCAACGACGGGCTCTTCTTGTACTGGTTCGGGTTCCTCTTCCTCATCGGAGTCAATGATCATGACTGAATCGTGATCCGGATGATTTCCTACGGCCTTCGGTTTCGCCTGAGGCTCAATCGGCTTTAATTCTGCAAACCGTTTGCCTCCTCTCCACACAATCTTTAGTCCGGTATCATAGCCGTAAATAATTACCGAGGAGCCATTCGGAGCCCGAAGTGGGTAGCCTTTGGCTGTGTGGATGCGATGGGAGAGCGGATAGCTAAAGATTTTGCAAAAACGAGATCAGCGTCAATCCAAGGTTATCATGACCAAAGCGCATTCCCCATACCTAATCTGCAAGCCATCTTCCCTAGGCCGGACCAAAGGAGTGGTGGGAAATGAGGGCATTGTGCTATTTGCGATGCTGTCGAGCTGCAGGTAGCTTCGAGCACAGGCGCCACAGAGCACCGCAGTGTTGATGGAGAGTCGAAGATTTGAAGTCAAAGTGGGATCTGATAATTGAAAGCCTGTTTCTTAACAAAAAAGCAAACTGAGCGAAGAGAATTATGGGTAGGGAGGGTGGAGAGTTGGGTAGATGGAGAAAGGGAAGTTGTTTTGGTCGGGAAAGCAAAGAGAAGTCGATCCAATCCGCGTTCCAGCGCGTCTTCCTAACCTCGACACAACCCCACGGCATGTCTTCTGGGCGCACCGTTAATTAAGATTACGTGAACGATGGAAATGATTTCAACGAATTTGACCGCAGAACTGTTTGTGACGGCGCACTACGATCGCTACCCCGGCTGCTAATCAGCTCACCATGGCGTCAGTTCGCTCTTTGGGCGTCCACGAACCCTCGGCCGTCTCCTACCTAGTCTCAGAGGGGATTCTCCCTCCCGAGCCCTCGGAAGATCTTTATAACTGGACGATATGCGTCGAAGAAAGCGGATTGACTGGCCCCGTGGACGATGAGCTAGTATGGACGAAACACTGTGTTGTATGGTCCCGGGCAGGGATGGTCAAGCGAGTATTTCGAATGGACCCTGAGAAAGAAGACATTCGACATGCACTGTTCACTCAGTTTGCAGTAAAAGACACGAGGTGCTCCAAAGCCACATGCCCAAGTCGACCTGAAGCAACCACTGGCATGCATAAACAAAAGCGGACTGAAACATTCTCTACTTTGGATTTACATGGAGATGCACGAGTGGCGGTTGTAGCTCCCCAGAACTCCAACGAGGCTCTTTCTAGGGCGTTGGTGGTAGTTCTCAAATCGCAAGCTCATATCTTCTTCGTGGCGGGTAATAGCCATACAATCCCTCTTCCATTTGAGGTTGACTCCGTGTTTGCTACGCCTCGGGGTCTCATTTTCCAGAGAAAGATTCAGGATGAAACTGGTGGGAGTCAAACCCCGATTGCGCCGCCGAATTCCTTCATGTCTACTTCACTATTCGACCCCAGCGCTTCTCGGTCATTTTCTCTCGGAAAAAGCAAGCGTCCATCGACGAAATCCTCATATGTTCCAGGTACTTCCTGGGTGCCAAATGCTAGCTCAAGCACGGATCTACCCCGAGTTTTCTCTCTCATTAACCCTCATTCCGAGATGGGTCTGGTTGTGGCATCGCAAACTTCTCGCTGGCTTCAGAGCGGCGTTAACAGCACCAGAAGAAGGCCATCTGGACTAGAAGTGTTGGACCCTGTGGACGAGATTGTATACATATCTCCAAAAGACGAGCTTTCGGGCATCAACAGACCAAATAACGGTTCTTTGATCCTAGTGGTTACGATCAACACAACTACGGGTATCTATACGATCTGGACCGCGCGCTACAAAAATGATGAATCATGCGGCTCAATGAAAGATAAAACCAGACGGGAAACAGGGGGTACCCGGTCAGTAAGGCGAAGCTCTCATTTCGGGATGGCAACTGGCGCAACAACACCGGCCGGTCGCTCTGGGGCAACCCGAGAGAGCTTTGGGCCTCGGACTGACAACTGGCCTTCCACTCAGCTACCTGAAGGGAAAGCTGATGCTGAAGACGACTTGGCTTCGCGGGTAGCCCAAGACTTCGGAGATGTAGGCGTTCCTCTAAAAACATCAAGGCGAGTCAGCTCGCTGCTCGCTCGAACAGACCTTGCTACTAGCCAGGACCGGATCACCTTTTCGGACCTGGCCACTGGCAGTCAATCCAGCGCCATACCTCATGGTGCTGGGCTAAGGCAGTCTATAGGAGGAACAAGCACTCGTGGAAGCTTTGGTTTCAACCCTCGAGGCTCTCTCCCTCCAGGCACAGGGTCTGTTTACAGCACTGCGGGCAGCTTTCTAGATACCCCAGTGGACAAGCTGCTCGAGGAGCTCAACAATGACGGTCTAACTTCCGGGTTCGAGAACATTGCCCTACGCGAAACAACATCTGGACTCCCGGAAGAACTTCTATTGACTAAAGTTGAAAGTTTCTCGTCTCAATTCTCGGGCAGCTTCCAAAAAGAGCCAGCATCCCGCCGGCTGAAGGTTTCTACATTGGCATCCACCGAGTTTGGAAGTGCCCACAAAGGCAATACAGCTTCCCTGGCAGTGTATATTGTGGACCAAGAGGCACAGAAATTAACTATTGTGAATCTGAGGGCCGACCGAGAACCAACTCCCAGGAGCCAGAAGAAAAAGTTCAAGACTGCCGACCAACGTCCGTTACTCGTGCGTGCGGTAAGAATCCAAAATGTCTCAAATGTTTTGGATGCTTGTACAATCTCCGATGGGGATCTTTCGCGAGTACTCTCACTAATTGAGACGGAAAGCGGACACCGCGAGCTATCATTGCAAACCCTTTGGGGTAGTCCTGTCAAAGTCGATGTTCCCGTGCCACTGCAGCTGTATGAACCGGATGGCATTTCTGCCAACAAACTTGAGAGTCGCCCAAGAGAAAGTGGTGTCAACCGGGTCATGGCAGATCCCGACCTCGTTTTTAGTAAATTCGATCATGGGTGCTCTCGAGGGAAGGTCGACCTGGTAGACACCGATAGAAAGCGCCACAGACTCCAAATCCGGATGGAGCCTCGCAACGAACTGGTGAAAAAAATACTCAAAATTTGCAAATTTGCCTTGCGTGAGTCCGAGAAAGCAGGCGATGGCATTATGGTCGCATGGTGGGAGGTCATGAAATGGCTTCGGGGCAAGGAGGAAAACAACATTGAATGGACCGCCATGACAGTTGTCTTGTTGAGTCTAGCAACTCCATTCGTCACCCCTCCACAAACGCAGACCCCCAAACGCACGCGTCGCAAGAAGGGTCTACTTAGATCGAGTAGTGGCGGACACCTGGATCTGGAAAGCTGGGAGTCTATGCTGGACCTAGAGTCTGGCTCATCCGGTGTCGTAGCTCCGTGGATGATGGACAGTTCCTGGGGTTGGATCGTTGAGCAAGACGCAATTGAGAGTGTTGCATCCAAGGATGCACCCAAAAGTAATAATGCGAGTCGATCTACATATCGCCAGAATTCGTACCTGATCCGGTGCATCGCCCTCAGCCGTGAATTCCTCCAAAGTCCCGAAGGCCTCAAAGCTGCTGGCCGCGATGGTTACCTCCCTATCTCTGAAGCATTCTCAGAGAATACAAGATGTATTGCATTGTGCAGTGTTCTCGTGGCCTTGCATCTATTGCGTGAAGAACACAAGCTCTCCACCTGCGACTCAGAGGAGTCTCAAAGGCCTCTAGGGTTGCTTGCTCCTGTTCTCGCACAATTGGGCGGCTGGCTAGGATGGGAATCTTGGAAATGGACCGAGCATGCCTATTATGGCATTGAAATGGCCAGTATGGAGCGCTGGCAGTTTGAGGAAAAGACCCATATCGCTGGGCTAAAGGTTCCTGCAGAACCCTTCCCGCCTCCATCCATTTTCGAATTTCTCATGTCTGCTGCTGCCCATCGGAGCCCTACACCGTTTGTTTCTCTCCTCGATATTGTGAATGCATCGGAGCGAACTCCCAGGAAAGGGCGCATGTGGCGTGAATGTTTCAGCATCACACCAAAAACGTGTGCGTTGAATGGCTTCTTCGCCGAAGTTCATAGTGTGTCTACACCCTTGGAAAAGATCAAGCTTTTGCAACGTTGGGGACTCACGAAGAGCGTCATTGATAGCTTCCCAGAAGGTGTCAGCGCACCGCTCTATGAAGCTGTGATGCAATGCCAGATTGAAGCATCCACGTCCTGGAACGCGATCCTTCTGGAGCTGATTGACAGAGAAGACCTTTACATGTCGATGAATCCGGCCCATATAAATTCATTAGCAGCACCGCAGCAGCCCAATCATAATGCCATCCGAGATTTCCATTATATTAGCAGCTCGGCATTGGATATGGATGCCATCTACGCCTTTGAGGCCTCTGCGGAGGCTGACCGATACTCCGTCACCAGGCTAATATTCCGAGATGATAAGCGATTTATGGAAGCACACAAACTACTAAACCAGTCCAAAGCGCCGGTGGCAGAGTGCATAGCTGAACCTGGCTGGAGTGACTCGGACTTGTTAGAGGCGCAGAAAGAAATCGTGCAGCTCGTGACAGTTCGGACGTTGTCTACTCCAGCGGGCCGTGCAATGCTTACCTTTAGTGGCCGGCTGCCTTTGTTGACTGAGAAACTGCCTATCCCTTCATTTTCCCTACAGTGCGTCATGAAGCCGGATAATGTGACAGTCAGCGCAGATAAATCTGCTTTCTCCGAAGAAAAGGTCTGCTGGGCCTTCTTCCACAACGGAGTATCAACCGGTCTGGCGATCTCTAAGGCCTCCAAGGGTATTGACACCTCGTGGATCTTGTTCAATAAGCCACAGGATCTTACTAACCGTCATGCCGGATTCTTGTTGGCTCTGGGTCTGAATGGTCATCTTAAATCGTTGGCCAAGTGGGTTGCTTTCAAGTACCTCACTCCCAAGCACACCATGACATCGATTGGTCTTCTGCTCGGCCTCTCTGCGTCATACCTGGGCACTATGGATACTCTAATCACGCGCTTGCTTTCGGTACATGTCACAAGAATGCTTCCACTTGGAGCAGCTGAGCTGAACCTGTCGCCCTTGACTCAGACTGCTGGAATTATGGGCATCGGTTTGCTCTACTGTGGCTCCCAGCATCGTCGTATGAGCGAGGTCATGCTCTCTGAAATTGAAAACAGTGAGCAGGACGAGCAAGCGGCTGCCACCGGAGAGGAACTTCGCGACGAAGGATATCGTCTGGCTGCAGGCTTTGCCCTTGGTTTCATCAACCTTGGCAAAGGCGATGACTTGCGGGGCATGCGCGATATGCACATTGTTGAACGGCTATTGTCAATCGCTGTGGGCACCAAGACCGTCGAGATCGCCCATGTAGTCGACCGTGCCACGGCTGGTGCGACCATTGCCCTCATGATCATCTTCATGAAGACGAACGACCCGGTACTAGCCAAGAAGATTGATATCCCCGACACAACTGTTCGCTTCGACTATGTAAGGCCAGATCTGTTCCTGTTGCGAACGTTGGCACGACACTTGATCATGTGGGATAGTATCAAGCCCACTGCTGAATGGATCAGCCAGAGTCTGCCCGAAGTCTACCGAGGACGATCGCGGCTTACGGACGTGCGCCGGCTGCGCAGCGAAGATATGCCATTCTTCAACATTATCGCAGGTCTCTGCTTTGCCGTCGGTCTCCGCCATGCTGGGTCGGGACAAGTACAAGCCCGAGATCTTTTGTTGTTTTATCTGGACCAGCTTATCCGCATCTCACGGCTACCTGTGCGAAGCTACGATGCTAGACTCGCCCGCAATTCGGTTCGGAACTGTCAAGATGTGGTGGCTCTATCTGCCGCGGCGGTCATGGCTGGTACAGGTGACCTGGCTCTGTTCCGGCGCCTGCGCTCACTCCATGGTCGAATCGACACTGATACACCATATGGGAGTCACATGGCGGCACACATGGCTGTAGGAGTGCTCTTCCTTGGAGGAGGCAGCCACACGCTTGGCACATCTAACCGCGCTGTGGCCGCGCTCATTTGCGCATTCTACCCGATCTTCCCAACAACCGTCCTTGATAACAAGTGCCATCTCCAAGCCTTCCGCCATCTCTGGGTTCTCGCTGCCGAACCACGATGCCTCGTCCCTCGTGATCTTGATACCCGCCGCCCAATCTCGATCCCAATTACCATAACATCTCATGACGAGACTACCCGCACCGTCGGCGCCCCTTGTTTACTGCCAGATCCAAGCAGTATTGCCCGTATTGAAATTCGTGGACCAGACCACTGGCCACTCGTTCTAGATTTCAGCCAGAACGATGCCCTACGCGAGAAATTCCTCCGGGGCGACCCATCCGTCTACCTTCGCCGCAAGGCAACCTACAGTCCAAACTCCTCCACATCCGTCTTTGCCTCCACCCTGACTGGCCTCAGTGAAGCCCAAGATATCCTCCCAGCAACCTCCGGTCCGCTCTCAAACCCGGCCAAGGGTCTCTCGCCATCGGCATGGCCAACCCGCACGGCCCTGCTCACCGGCAAGCCATCTGCGGCGATGACACCATCTCAAAATCCCTGGGACTGGGTCTTTCACCTTCCTTCCCTACAAGACCTTGACATCCGCGAGCGCTCCCTCGTCCTCCCATCTTCCTTCCCGATGCGCTCCACACGCATCACCACCGATCTTGTCTCTGTACCACCGTGGCTGCGTACCTCAGCCGTAGATGCGAGACTCGCTCTGTCCCACACCGTACGGAATATCGTGCAATCCGCACGCGGTCGTGGAGCTGATCCGGACCAAATTCGTGATCGAGTCTGGCAGCTTCGTCTGCTGTTTGACTGGTTGGATCGTACTCAACCTGACGATGAACGCGATCATCTTTCTACTAGAGGGCTACTGTCCCCGGCACAGGGTCCGTCTGGGCTGTGGTTGCGGAGAGACTTTGTTGAAGAAGCCAGATGGCAGGTTTGGGGTGTGCAAGTTGGAGATCTTGAGGGAGAGATTCAATCATAATTGTATTCGTGTATTCGTAGATCAAGGTCCCCAATGTGATGTTATTTTTTTCTCCAGTTATAAAGTGCTCAGTTCATCTCCACAGAGGGGCAGCTGATAACACAATCGAGCGCTTCCCGATCTCGGAAGGTCTAGCTCGGTGTTCCATACCCCATATCCCATACAGATCTCCTACTTCTCCTACTTCTCTTCATATCTTTCCTAGTCGCGAGTCCAGTCGCAATCTCTATCCTAGTCCCAAGACACTCCAATTAAATCAAATGACCAACCAACACCAATCCCCATCACCTCCGAAGCGAAGTGAGTCCTCAACTCCAACTTCTCAACATAGAACGAAGATCCCGAAACTAACAATTTCTATAGTATGGGCCTCCCTGATAACCAACATGTCCTACCTCCCAGGCCTCCTAACCCTCCACCACTCCCTTAACCACCCTTCCCCAGACCAAACCTCACAACCCCCCGCAGACCAAGGAACAAAATACCCATTCGTAGCCTTCTACACCTCAACCTTCCCAGCAGAAGGTCTCAAAGTCCTCCAAAGCCGCAACATCCCATCCCAATGGGTGCCCTCAGTAACACCCGCCAGTACACGCAGTTACGATAAAGACCCGCGCTTCCTCGAAACATGGAACAAGCTAGTCGTCTTCTCCCTCGAGCAATACGAGCGCATCGTCCTTCTCGACGGTGACATCCTAGTCCGCCGGAACATGGACTCCCTAATGGAATTACCGCTTGACGAACCCGAAGCCAACGGGAGCCGCGTGTTTGCGGCCGCGCATGCTTGCGCCTGTAATCCCATGAAGAAGTCCCATTACCCCGCTAATTGGTATGTAACATGTTCCTCGATATATCTCATTTACTCCCATTCCCCGAGTACTACAGGTCTAACGTGTCTCACACCAGGGTCCCCTCGAACTGCGCATACACGACGCAACACTCCACGCCCGACGAGGCACAAAGCGTTGCGCCACCGCCAGACTCCGGGGTTGGGATGTTGAATAGCGGAGTGTTGGTCGTGAGGCCTTCTGCGCGGGTGTATGGCGAGATCACGGCTGCGTTGCAGGAGACGGAGCGGATTGCGCGATATGTCTTCCCTGATCAGGATTTGTTGTCTGATGTTTTTGCGGGACGATGGGTTGCGCTGCCTTATGTTTATAATGGGCTTAAGACGTTGCGCATTGGGGGTGTGCACGATTGCATTTGGAGGGATAGTGAGGTTCGGGCGGTGCATTATATCTTTGCTACGAAACCTTGGCATGAGGAGGTGGAAGAGGGGGATCTGTCTGGGTTGGATGAGACGGGAACTTGGTGGTGGAGGGCTAATTGGGAGAGAATGAGGCTTGAGAGGGAGGTTGGTGTTTTGGATAAGTTTTCTGGGTCTTGAGGTTTTTGTATAGATTTTAGGTCTTATGCAAATATATTTAGAGATTTGAAGATGGATACAGATTGAATAAATAGTCTGGCCATTTGAAGTTCATACTGATAGTGGGTGGTATTGATATCGATATTGATATCAACAGCTCCTATACCAGATGCAATACATGCAAGGTCGATCTAAGTATATCCATGCAAGGGTGCAATCTGCATCAACGTCATCAAGCATCACACATTCTTATCTGTTCACTTCCACTTAACCATCATAGCCAACAGCCTGAAGCTCTTTCCGCACCGCATCCTCGGTCTGGATCTTCTTCATCTGCGTATCTTCCAGCTTCTCACCACCGGCAAGACGCATCTTAAGCTCGTCAATGGCGCGGATCTTCTTCAACAGGCCGCGAATCTTCTTATCCTGGGCAGAGGGGTCCTCAGCAGGCGCGGGAGCAGCGACAGGAGCAGGAGTGGGGGTAGCAGAAGACTTGGCTGCACCGGTTCCATTCGCGGCGGTGTTCTTGCCGCGGTTACGGTTGCGGTCTGGGCTGGGCCCAGTTGGGGCGTTGGCAGGAGGAGCGTTATCAGTTCCATCCTCCTTAGCCTTCTTGGCGGCTTCGCGCTTCTTTTTGTTCTTCGCCGCGGACTTGGACAAATTCTCAGAAGGCAGGGCAACACCGCCGCCGGGCGCAGCTCCAGGAGGCAGGTACTCCTCCGAGGGCTCGGCGCCGGGGACTTCACGACGGCGGGGTTTACCGAAGGTGTTCATGCTGGCGCCGGGCACGCCGTCGCGGACAAAGGCGGCACCGCCTTCGTCCTCACGCTTGAATGCAAGCGGGGTCAGCTGACCGCGGGCGCCGGGGGGCGGTAGGCACCTGCCGGCTTGACGGGGGCCTTGCGCGTACCCATGTAGGCAATGGCAGAGGGGTGGGGAGCAGGCACCTTGGTGAGCGGGTCGCCCAATGGGTGCTGCTCGATGCTCTGGGGCCGCCAGGTGACATCGTAAAGCTCAGTCATATCCTCGTTGTAGGTGAGACCGCCGGTAACGTGCCAGATACGCACGCCGTTGTCGACACGTAGGCGGGGGCTGGTCGTTGCGGTCAGGATGTACTGTCCGTCGGGCGACCAAGCGCACACGCTGGCGTTAGAGGCCTCGACGGTGGTGATCTTGTGGTAGTTCTTGTCCATGTCGTAGAGGTCCATCTGTCCTGCCAGGTTACCAAAACCGGCAACCAGCACGAAGCGGCCGTGGGGCGAGAACTGGATGGTGTTGCGCGGCGCAAGGGGGAAGTTGTGCTTGGGCACACCGCGGAAGTTGAAGATGGTCGTCTTAGCGGGCATGTAGCCGTACACAACACCGAATTCCTTCGAGTTAGGGTTCCAGCTAACGTCGTGAATAGGACCCTCCTTGTCTGTTGGTTGTCAGTTAGATTCAGGAAGTAGTAAAGTGGGAAAAGCGGGATCACATACCAAGATCAATGCGCGAGTCAAATGCACCGCTGGCGCTCAGCAAGTACAGGGTAGTCTCGCCGTAGTAGCTCTTGCCAGTGCGGTCGACCTCAGTCTGCGCAAGCACGATCAAAGTAGTTCCAGAAGCGTTCCACTTGAGCTGGACCTTATCGCCCTTGAAGAAGCTCTTCTGGGACACGGGCGCAGTGAACTGGGGCACAATGAACACCTTAACCTGGGCGGGCTGGCCCTTGCGCTCAGGAATGAACACAGCGATAGACTGAGTCTGACCAGGCGACAACGCAAAGTCCGCCACTCCTTCCACGCGCAACTTGTTCCAAACAGTGGACAGGTTATCGCTCTGGTAGAACTGAACCTCGTTAGTCACGGTGCGGGCGCACAGCTTCTCATCGGAAGTGTACTGCAAGTTCCAACCGGTCTGCGACTTCTGGACGAAACTTCCCACAACTGAGTGGTTGTCTCCGTCCTCAATGGCACGCCACACCTTCAAGTTCTTGACGGCGTCTCCATTCTCGTCCTTGGATGTGCGCTGCCAGGTGATCACGTAGGTGCCGAGTGGCGAGAATCCCAACTCAAACACGTTTTCGGCGGGGATAGTGCCAACGACAAGGCCCACGGAAGGGTCAATAATGGTAACCCTGTATTGAGAGACGAATGTTAAATTTTGAACGTGAAAGTGGGGGGGAACCAACTTACTTCTCGGGTGATGCCCACGCGAAGTACCGGCCACACGGCGAGTAGGCGCTGCAGCGAAGGTTGCCCTCTGGTCTGTTGGTAAACAAGTCAGCAAAAGTTCTTGTTTGCTATTTGGCTCAATTCTTACTTCTCGAACCCAGAAAGGGGCTGGTAGACGGGGGCGGCATCCATGATGCTAATGCCCTTGAGCGTGCGGACTGTGCGACTATCAGCAAACATCCATCCACTCGCGTAGACTGATGCGACCCGAAGATCGAGAATCAATACAAGGAAAAGAAAAGACGTACAAGCAAGTTGCGTAGGAGCAGCCATCTTGATTTCGACTCGCAGGTCTAGAACGAATCCACCAAAAGAAGAGAAATCGAATGCTTTTCGGGGTCACAAGGTAAAATGGATTCTTCTAAGAAGAATGAATCACAAAGCGAACTTATAGGACCAAAATAGCCACACAGCGAACGACGGTCCCGGTGAAATAACGGGTGTCGAACAAAGCGAGACGGGCTTTTCGAGGGTATTTCTCGGATTGGGAATTCGTGGGAGGTTTCTGGGCAAGTGAAAACAGCAAGTCGGCGGAGTAGAAGACTGCTAGACAAGTCAATGCCAGCAAAAAGAGGTCGGGCGAAGAAAGGTAGTTGGGGAGGTTGAAGAGTGAAAGAAAGAAAATTCGGGTTTGGCGATGTGGCTAGGCGGCATGCCGTCATCTGCGGTATACACGTTGTGCCGGGAATCCCAACTATGGAGATTGTATTCTCCTGCTGGAATTGGGGCTTGAATCTAGCTATATAGTAGCTCGATACTATTCTATTTTATATGTCTAGCTACTTAAATAAGTGTAATAGTGTCTGAGTGTCTGGATCAACGTGGAAAAGACAGGTGGCAACGGTCTTTGGAGGGGAAGACAACCAGGTACTGACACCTTAATATTTGGATATACAAGCCCTAGTACACAGAGTCTTTACTTATATCTACATGCATGGTCATTGTTACTTTGAAACACGCAAAAATAGAAGCAATACATTCAAGGCATCAAGCCACTAAAAGAAAAAAAACGCCTTCGTAACCTCTTGAATCTACCAAAGCATGAACCAGACTCTACTCCCGGCCTGGCGAGCTAAATCCACCACTGGGTGTGGTAGCCAATCGTGGAGTTCTAGCAGTGGTATCAACAATGTCCGAGTCAAACGTCATGCCATCAACCATGCGAGCATCCTCATTCACAGGCTCGGGAGTCATCGATCCAGCCGGAGACGACGACATGATGGAGCTCTCCCCAGCATGATGCTGTTGTTGTTGCAGATATGAAGCCAGCGGATTTGGGCGGTTGATGTTTGAGCTGCCAATAGAAGTAGGCCGTCCAGAGGACATACGGTTCATTCCAGGTGGACGAGAGATCGGTCCACTGTAAGTACTGTTGGCGCCCTCGCCAAACCCGACCAGACTGGCATTACCTTCGTCACTGATGTTACCGACACTGGAGGTGCCGTCGTCTTCGTGATCCTCGCTCATTTTGTCAGCATCGTATGTGTCGCTACTGCTTGCCCAGGTTGTGCGTCCAGCAACGCTACCCGTCGCACTGGCGCTGCCGACTGTGCTACGCTCCTTCGGTACTTGACTTTCAAAGTATCCTGGAGCATACGGCGGAAGCGCTTGGCCAGAGGTCTGACCACCAGCGCGGGCTGTGGCAACTCGCTCAAGGCCGGCTAGGCGGGAGATTCGGTCTGCACGCTCAGCTTCTAGGGTTGTGGAGGATGTGGAGGACTGATGCGCATGGTGGCTGTGGGGGAATGGATGGCCCTGGTGGCCATCTTTGATAGCTGTTGTCGAGAGAGCCGATAACGATGTAGTACCGGAGTTGGGGGTCCCTCTGTATTCCCCGTAAGTCAATAATGTCAGTCAACTCTCCATGATATATATGAACACGGGGGAGACGGAGTTCTGGAGAGCTCTTACGGTCCCATATCCGATGGAGTGACGGGTTCCGATGGGGGAGGAGGCAAATTGATCAGCGTTGGGGTAGACATGATGTGACAACAGGAGGTAGAGTTGGAAATAAAGCAAAGTGAAGAGTAATTGAGAGATATCAAAAGAAGTTTGATAGAAAGCAGGAGAGGGGGAGGACTCGAGTAAATAATTCATTTGCACCCACGTCATACCTCTCGGGTCTGTACAGCCGGGTTTAGTGGCCAATGTGACAATATTCACGCCCATTATCGTCCCCTACCTGGCCAAATTCACCTAATTTGTTCAATATGCCAATTATCGACTATTATGTGTTGGAATTTTAGAACTATCTAGTTTATTCGGTTTAATATAATATTAGATAGTGATTTTCTACCTATATCTTGGATGTTTCTGATGTCTTGTACCTAGCGCTCCGCTGTGGACACTAAAGCTGTCCCATTCAGCTTTCCCCAAATCAAGGTCCCGGGGTCATTGTTCAGGTCTTTATCAAGCCATCCAATACTGGCAAACACTACGCCAAATTCATGCATTCATTCATTCATGTATACAATAGCCTATAATAAAATGTGGAGAAGACAGCCTGCTGCTCCTTCAATCACCAACTTTAATCACTAACTTTCCGATTCTCATAATGACCCCGGAGATCATCCACCTCTTTCTGAAGTCTGGTGAGATCGGCCAGGATGTCTAGAGCATTGGATGGTTGTGGTGCTGGTGTCTGGTTCTCCTTCAATCCCATCACATCACTACGGGCAATAGAGTCTCGAGTGCGCCGAGGCGGAGGAGGTGGAGGGGGTCCAGTAGAGCCAGGCGGTACACTCCCATAGGATGATGCTCGCCGCGCAGCCTTCAGTGATGATGGTCTGGAGTTAGTTGGGGGAGAAAGATTCAGCGAGATATCTCCCAAGGGGGCAGTCGCCTGGAAGTCTCCCGTTGATGGAGGAGGCATGCTGATTCTCTTGTTTTCCAGCGCCCGACTGGAAGGACCCGGACTGGGTGGCCGAGAGCTATCATTGCTTTCCGAGTCGTAGGTCATAGATAATCGACTGCTAGTTTTGGATTGTGTAGACTTGGACCTCCGCATCTGGCTGTGCCGTCGACTGAGAGGTGGGGTTGGAGGACGCTTATGCTGAGACTGGCTGCGCTGGAGCGAGTCCGTCGACCCCCGCACTCCCGCAGGGGCTGAGAAATAGTCCGATGATAGAGACACCGAGCTAGGATGCAAAGCGCCAGGCGTCACATTCCCAGTGCCATGAATTGACAGGCGGTTAGTAGACCGGGACCGGGCGGTCTGGGAGGATTCTGCGGTGGCTGTAGAGCCGATTCTGCGGCCGTGATGACTCTTAGGTGGAGGCGGTGGCTTCTTGTCTTTGGCTCGGCCGGGAGGACTTGCATCAAGCTCTGGGGACAACTGTGCTGTGGAACGTGCATGGGAGCTGTCTACACCTGTTGCAGACCGCATGTTGTGGTCGGGTGATATGAAGGATCCATCTGCTGATGGAGCTGGGTGTGGAGCTGTCCCAAAAGCCTCTGGTCGATCATCTTCATGGGGGCCTAAGCTCTTGTTCCCATTCATTTCATCCTCGGTATCGCTCGCGGACACCGGATTGAATGGGTTTGTCTCTTCATCCGAACTCGAGTCATCCATCTCGCGTTCCAGCGATATCGAGGACTTCCCATAATGATTCGGGGCAATAGGTGGAGTGGATAGAGGTTTCGAGGGCAAAACAGGAGCAAAAGTGCCCTTGGTAGACAATGGATCGGGATTGCCTGTTCGGAATCATCAGCTAATGATTTTCCCCAGGGAAGACTCAAGGGGAGGAAAGAAGGGAAAACAATACTCACCCTGTCTCATACGAAAAGGATTTGATCTAGACATCGCGAGAATGAAGATGATCGAATCAAGAGAAAAGGAAGAATTGAGGGGTCCCCGAGTTTATGTTTCCTACTTCCCTACGCGCCGCTTTCCGTCGAGTCCGGTTGCCCCGAGAGGCTTTTGGAATAAAAATGCATAACTGTGAACACTTTGTATTATGGATAGTTCAGTCAAATTGGATTGAAACGTGTCCCAGATCCCTATTGTACACGGGAAAAAAGGGTACAGGTATGGTACAGAAGCATAGAAAAAATAAAACGCTCTTCAGAAAATACGAAGTCCCCACCCCATATGCCTCACGCATTGCTGTGAAATGATTAAAGACCCTCCCATATTCAAAAGACTGTCAGCGCTCGTTATAGACGTGCCATGTCTCTTCACCATCGAAAAACTTATGTGCCAGGCGATTGCCACTCTCCGTAGGCTGGCTGAATGCAATTTGTGCCTTTGTTATTTCCATCCCGTAAATAAAGTTGATAACCACGCAGTCGAGGAGATCCAAAGCAATTCCCTTTCGCCGTGAGGATCCGGAGGTCCAAATCCGAGAGACTCCAACAATGGCGGGGCGAATTTCATCTCGTGTCGAGACAGAGCCATTGTGTGCGTCACCGTTTGGTTCTTTCACTACCGGTCGCGATTCCCAGATGCGCTCGGTCAGACAGAGCCCGACACAGCGACTATCCTTCATATGCAAAAAGACCCGGTATCGATCTACTTTCTCGGTCGGGCCATTCTGCAAATGTTTGGGCGGTTCGGTTTGGCTCCAGAGGGTCTCGTCGTCGATTTCCGGTGATGAGAGCTCTTTATTGACCACCTCGAGAACCTTCTTCGCTTGGTTCTTGGCACTGGGTGACGCCTTGCGGTCCACAATTACCACGTATCCCTCATCGAATCGAGTCGCTTCGTAAACCCAGCGTGAGGCGTTCGCACGCATAAATGCCTTGCCGAGGTCGATCCCAGTCGCATTCATCTCGTGGAACTTTTTATGCAGTGCCGCATCCTCCGTATTGGACGGGATATATTCCATACCACAGGTAGCACAGGTCTTTCGTGTATCATTTCCCAGGTCGATCTGCATCTGGCGCATGACGGGTTGTTTCTGTCCCTTCTGCTTAGGTGGGTCCACGGATGCGCGTACGCTATTCGAATTTACCTCTGTCAAGGGCGATCCGGCGGTTTCCTTATGTTTCCGCTTGAGAAAGGCAAATGTAGGCTTGCGGGTATTTGCTGGCGGCGGGGTTAATCGCGGAGGTGGCGACGATGGTGGTGTGGTGAGATCGTCAATATCATCGAGCGTGCCTTCCGACAACAGGGAGTTGCGACGCGACGGGCTGGACAGCACAGCAGCTGAGGATTCACGGATGGCATATTGTAGGTTGGCCTCAGCTTCATCGGACTCATCCACGCGTCTTTTCTTTGCGGCGCGCTCATCATCGTAGACGCGCCATGTTGGTCGTCCGTAAGTCTTCATAAGGCCTCTGGATTGGGATGTTAGTCAACCCCGGAGATTGAGCCCAGTATACATACCTCTTAAATGAATTGGTAACTGTCCACGGCATGACCCTGACTTTTCCAAAATTTGCTCAGGGCAAAGGTGGGATGAAGAAGTTGACGAAGTCCAGCTTGGTGACGGCACGCGTGGGAACGCTAGTCTGTTTTAGGTCATATTGTTTCGAATGACTAACCGGTTGACTTACCTCCAGCACTCCAGTTGAGTGTTTTGTTTTTTTCTTTTCTTTTTTCTCTGGGGAGAAGTTTCAGGTTCAAGTAAGAAAAGAATATGAAATGGAAATGATCAACAATTTCCGGTGGAGAGCTGGGTTTATAATAATAAAAAAAGAAAGGAGAGTATTGCCACCGGGATTAAGACCGGACCAAGGAGAAAAAAGAATAGAGTCAGGAGAGAAGATGTGAAGTGAAGATGGATAAGAGAGTATAACAAATAACATCCCCAGCCTCAAATTCCTGTGGTTGGTATGCTGTCGGGCACTTCTTTTTTTTTTCTCGCCCCCTTTCTCCTTTCTAAATAATCTACACAATTGGGCAATTGGCAAGACAGGCTCCAATCTCAAAATTCAACCAATAAGATGATCTTGTACTGGGCTAAGTCTACCAAGTCGGGAGATTAAAGATGACGCTTTTTCTAAGCCCCTGGCCTCTCATTGCTGTAGGTTTTCATGGCCAGCGTAAGGCTTTCCCCGTATTGCATTGTGCAAGGAAGTGCACGTTGGAATTATGATGATCTTCATTGACCGCTCTAATGCTTCAGCGCCTACAGGCTACAGGATACAGGTTGCATTATTTCGATTTGGGAATATACAGCGCTTGGGGCATGAACCATCCTATGTTGATTGGGTCAAAAACACGAGATGTTCGATCTTGTTCAGTGATTGGCTTGATGTTAGCCAAGTTATGAGAGTCCTATCGACATATGGTAGGCCTCCCCCAGATCTCACAGAGTACAAATCCGGCCTCGGTGGCAACTGATCGCTTGGCATGTCATCGTGAGATGAGCAGTGCTGGAGCCTACATGATACACATGCATTCCGGTCGCTAATCGGATCGCGGGGTCCAAATCCACGGCCGAAAGTGATAGATGTTAGCAACTCTGCTATGAGATGTCTCAGAGATTGCCAGAGCGCCAGAGCTACACCTTCGTGGTCAGAGTTGCTGCCCTGGTGACAAGGCTTCCTTGTACCACCTTTGCCATTCTGAACCATTCATGGCCTTCATATATGTGATGACCCTTCTCATCCACTGGACAGGAGCCTCCCGGTGTACGTTGGCTCCAAGAGGAAACGCTGGGCAGCCAGTCAGATTTGTTTGTTCAGAGTCACCAACACAATTTGATGCAGAGAATGTTACACATCCTCATCATCTGGTCTAACCAAATCTCTCGTGTTCATTGTGTGCCAGAGAGACATTGTCAAACTTGCCATTCCATCGGCGGTTAGTCCAGAGGTACTTCTTATTCTCCAGCAAGTTGGGTATGTATATTCTTGCCAGGGATCCATCAAAAGAGAAGCTATTATGCGGCTTGACACATCGTGGCCGGTTCAAACGCAGCTGGAATCGTGCATTGAACAGACATGTACTCCGTACTCCGTACGGAATTCCCCACCAAACGGCACTGGGGGGTCGATCTCTGTGCTGACCGTTGAAGCTAACACTAAGAATTTCCAATGTTATGTATTTGTTAAATATCTACGTCTAAACATATATATCTTTATATATCTTGTAGATGTAGGAGTATATTTCACTCTGTCGTACTATAGATTGCACCCATTTACTATCTGAACATATTAAAAAAAAAGAAATTCCAAATCAAAAGACAAAATAGTCACGATGCAGCGAGTGTTCTATATAGTTCTACCAACTGACGGTCCGGTCTCCGGGGCCACTTTTTTTTTTTTTTTTTAATCTCTCCGAGTCCCCGTTTTTTACTCAAAAACTCTTCAACTTCCATCAACAACTCACAAATAATCATGTCTGACCAAGAACAAGCTGCTGGAAAGAGAAAGCGTGCGAGTAAGTTGATTTGTTTATATGTTTCCCTTGCTTTCCAACATAATATATTTTGGGGGGGGCGATTTTCTATCAACAGTTACTCGAATCATCGAATCACCGTCAATGCCCTTCCAGAATCAATTTTGATCTGGGCCGTGTGACATGTCGCTGGGCGTCAATTTTCGAACAGCCTAGCCTCACCTTTTTCCCCCGTTCCTCTTTTATTACTGCCCGCGCCTAAATTTTCGCAAGCCTGAAACTTCAAGATGTCTAACATTTCACCTCCAGGGACCCAATCTTGTCCTCCTCCGGAGCTCCCCCAGCTCGTTGCCGAACAACACATGCCAATTCCTGCCCATGACAAGGATACCCAACGCTTGATCGTGGTTCTCTCAAATGCCAGTCTGGAAACCTACAAGGCCGTCTCTAGTGGACGGTCAGGAACCAAGGATGAGAAGTTTTCTCTGTTGAACAGCGATGAGCACATCGGTATCATGCGCAAAATGAACCGTGATATCAGTGAAGCCCGACCAGATATTACCCACCAGGTACGATTCAACATCGCCAGTGGCAATTGAAAGGTCAAAAAAAAAAAAAGAATACTCACTGACGCACCGTAGTGTCTGCTCACACTTCTCGATTCCCCCGTGAACAAGGCTGGTCGGCTCCAAATTTTCATCCACACCGCCAAGGGTGTTTTGATTGAAGTCAACCCCTCCGTTCGCATCCCGAGAACATTTAAGCGGTTCGCCGGTCTGATGGTCCAGTTACTCCACCGACTCTCCATCCGTTCGACCAACTCGCAGGAAAAGCTCCTCAAGGTTATCAAGAACCCTATCACCGACCACCTACCCCCCAACTGCCGTAAGGTGACCATGAGTTTCGAGGCACCCGTTGTCCGTACTAAGGACTACCTGGAGTCGCTGAACCCGAACGAGAGCGTCGCCATCTTTGTCGGAGCCATGGCCAAGGGCCACGACGACTTTGCTGACTCCTTCAAGGATGAAACCATCAGTATCAGCAACTACAGTCTTAGTGCCAGTGTAGCCTGCAGCAAGTTCTGCCACGCTGCCGAAGAGGTCTGGGATATCCTCTGAGGAACTCGACTGAAAACTAAAAAAGAAAGAAAGAAATCGCGCCCAAAGAACGCGCGTCCTTGTCGTCTGTATTGACGGCACATTTGCCAGACTTTTTTTTTTTTAAATGGGTGGAGATTGAGTTGCAGAACGAAGGTACTAGGCATATCTCTATATCTGCCTGTCCTTGTTCGAGAACCTTGGCTGTTAACCTAAGCCTAGCTCTCTCTACTTTCTATATCTCTCGGTTTTATTTTGGGGAATCCACTGGGAATCCTGGATCCTGGGACAGCTACCAAGCACCGGGATTCATCCCAGGCTGTCTTGTGGGTGTTTAAAGAGCACCTGTTTTTTTTGCCCCCTCAGCATAAGTTACGGGTCGGACGGCATTTGGTTCCTTTTCGCCAGTCCTTTGATCCA